TTGCTACGCTTTCATTATATTTTGAGAAATCTTCAAAACATCTAATTTCGTTACTGGGAAACTTTAATGTTACAAACTTATCAGTACAGCGGCAGCTTATGAGCATTGCTGCAGATTTTTATTAAACATGCTGTTGACATTACCAAATCAAATCATTGCTTTAAAAGCTATGAGTAGAGTGAAAGTAGAGCCCGAAATGATTTATATATAAGGAAAAAAGCATCAAACTCTGCTAAGGTCTTAGCTAGCATTCAGCTTTATCAAGATACTCTGACGCTCGTTGTGTGCCGTGGCCAACTCGCCAATGACGTAAAGAAGCACATCAGATGGAACCTAGAAGTGAAGCGTGAAGACCAATAAAAAATGGTAATGTAGGGAGCTGTAATATGAAAACGTCCAGATATTGACGGTTTCATTATCTTAAGTAATTGCAAAATATTGCAATCTTGAATACAAATGAACTACAGATGGGTGGGTTCTTATGTGATTTTAACTGCTTTTTAATCATATGATTCACATGCAAGCTGAGTTTTTTACCTGGTCATCGGCAGAAGGTGAGGACTTGCTAGCGATTCCGTTACGATGCTCTTCCCTGAAAAAAAAAATGGCGAGTAGATCTTGCAATAATCATCATGTAGAAAGGGGGTGATGCCATGACTGTTACACACAATTAAACGTGAAGTAAACGCAGTTGTGACTACGTGCCAGAGTTGTAGACCTTAGAACTTCCTCTGACTTCACAAACTTCTGGGGCTAGTGAAGCACCTCATTAGGCAAAATAGGACATCAAACCTCGACTGTTAGAAAAAAAGGTTTTCCTCTATATCCCCTAAAAGCTAGAAAACGTTTTCACCTATTTAAATCAGTGTTGACGACTTGCCCATTAGGATGAAAAGAGCCGTCCAAACATCCTACATTCTCATCACTTTGTTGCAGTATGCGCGTAGACTCCAGCCTCGACATCAAATCAACAAGCTGACCTTCCAGACCTTAATCCATCGTTCCATCTAATCTTTTTTGTTGAGAGGCATCAAGGACAGGGTTCAAAAGAACAGTAAGTGGTCAAAAGATTACCGTTCAACTGAATTGAAGGAGTAGCGGATCCGCTTGGGTTCTTCGACTGATTCTTCCTTAGTTCATGGAATTCCTCCCTCATCTGTTTAAGTCGTTCCTTCAATTTGCGATTTTGCTCCGCATAAGCTTTTGCCACTCTAAAGCATGAAGATACGAATGAAAAAAAAATTTATTTGAAGAAAATTCCCTCGATGTTTGTATCAAATAAAACATGAATTAGGCAGTAATTACCACTTGGATGACCGAATGTGAAGATAATATTCAGCTGTTTTAAATTTCATAACCGGCTCAGTATAGTA